CTCTTAGGAGGAAAGGCTGGGGGAGCTGGGCCTGTTCACCCTGGAGAAGAGACACCGAGAGGGGCCCTCATCAATGTCTGAGAGTGTCTGAAGGGAGGTGCCGAGAGCACGGAGCCAGGCTCTGCTCGGTGCTGCCAAGCCATGGCACAGGAGGCAACGGGCACAGACGGATGCACAGGGAGTTCCACCTGAACATGAGGAAGAACTCCTTTAATGTGTGGGTGACTGAGCACCGGAACAGATTACCCAGAGAGGGTGTGGAGTCTCCCTGACTGCAAACATTCCAGAACTGTCTGGACAGTCCTGAGTAATGTGCTCTAAGATGACAACGCTGGTATCCAATTTTTTACATTATAAAGGAAAAAAAAAGAAAGCAAAATGTAGCAACAAAATTCAGTRGGTAGATCTTCCGGTTCATACAGTTTCTTAATGAATTATTGCTAGGACTGAATAGTGATCAGCTAATTCAAACAACCATCATTGATCACGACATTCAAACAAAACAGCCAGAGTATCTGAGCTGGCTCCTGGTCAAAAGAATGTGAGCAATAGAACAAGACATTTCATTTCACCAGTTTGGACACACATTCCTTCTGGTTCCTCAGGTGTAAGAAACTTTGCAAAGAGGGTAATTAGCACTTCTCCATCATTACATGGGCCCTATTGAAAGCTCCAAGCACACCACCTGCAAAATTGAAAATAAAGTGTATTGTCTTTGCATTACAACAGGTAGATTGCCAATCAGTATTTCTGATCAGAGTTAAAATAAACACTGCTGTGGCCACAAGAAAAGCAGAACACTAAATTCACACAATATGACTCAAGATCATATTTGTTCAGTTTTGTTCTGAGATTCTGCATTTTACTGGATAACAATCTTAGTGGGTTTTGAAGTCTCTTTATATCCAGGGATAACTTGGGAGGTTCACAAGTTTTAAAAATCAGGATTAGTATCTGCATCAAACAATAGTCTCACCATTGCCCAAAAGAAAGATACACTGCAGAATGACACTASGACTCAATAGGTTCTGGTTTGGATCAGAGCCAGGAGCACTCCATCAGAAAGCTTTGCCAGAAGCTGCTGCTTTCCACTGCCTGYGGCTGCTAGAGTTGGAGAAATAGGCTTCCTGCTGCACAGGCTCTGCACCATCTACAGCTTCACAAGGTGAAAGCCAGAACGTGAACTGTCCCTTTGGAAATGAGGAGGCAGCTGCTGTGAAAAGGCACTGTGCAGACACACACTTGATTATCAACACTGTTTCCAGGCACAAAGGGTGCCATTTCCAGTCTAGCTCTGGGTTCCAAGTGACAAGCATGCAGAAAGAATCGCCAAGGAATCCACTCTGGAAGCTACAATGATGTGAACAGCTACAGCACTACTCCAMGTTAAAGGCTACAATTACCTGGCACAGCCAACAGCAGGTGCTCTTTATCACCAATTTCCCACAGCAGCTGAGACCAACTACATCACTATCACGAGAAGAGAACTGATGTTGTTTTCAAGTTTCATCCTTTAACCAAAACCACATGATTTTAGGACTCTTGACTACCTCTGACATCCTGTTGAGGCAGTCTTTGACTCAGAATTTTACTCTATCCATGGAACAAATAAACTGCAAATAAAAGAGCTGAAACACAGAATAAGGGTTAGATAAAAACAAATAAAGCAAGTGATACAAATAAATTAAGTGCCTTAAAATTTAATGACTTGAGGGTGACTTTGCCTCCAGGACTCTTTGTATCAAAAACTGAATGGATTTTCATGAAATCTCTGCTAAGGTATTTGTCTATGCTTTTTGGGTTGCCATTTAAAACTGTCACATGCTAAAAATAAAAAGAGGAATGGAATCCATCTTCTGAAAGAATGTAGGATTCAATAATGGATCTGGAAAAAAGTACTCATAGTAGAGAATACACAGAACTCAGGAGAAATATTTGTATGGTTCTTTTTATTCAAATGTTTTATGTACATATATAGGTACACATATAATACTTGCCACATTTGGCAACTGCTGTTTAATGCATACAAGGTAAACAGGTACTTTTCATAATGAGATACTGTTAGTCTGATGAGAGGCATGAAATTCCCAAGCAGATGCTTAGCTCACTAACGCTATGTCTGGTCTTTAAATTTTTCTTTCCTTTKTCATTGCTTTTAGTATTTTAAGACTTTAAGTCATCCAAGATTTGTTACAAGCAACACAAACTTTCAGAAGTTTTTTTGTTGTCCTTGTTTTTCTTTTTTTTTTTTATTTAACTCTTCTCTTAATTGTTGCTGCTTTTTTGTTCCATCTTGTCCCTTCAAGTCTCATCAGGAGATTGAAGAACCTCTGAATAATCTCACACAGAGACATGGTGGGTTTCTCCTGTGCACCTTGTTTAAAATAAAGCAGGGTCATCCCCTTTGCCCATTTCCAGGCATCAACAGTCAACATCAAGAATTCCCATACAAAAAGCATGCTATAATGAATTTATAACACACCAGCTACAGAAATACCTGGCAGCCTTCTTTTTAGAGAAACCACAAAYGAATTAAAATAAAGCAACAAAAAGACTTCTTCACAAATGACACACTTATAGAAAGGGTTGATTTGTTCCTGAGCGGGCTGGCAAGTATCCATTAGTGGTCAAGTGGAGGAGAGGGAGGAGAAAAAGAATTTTAAGCTGAAAAAGGCACAGAAAATAAAGATACTGAGGCCTTTAGAAAAAACAAACTGAATTATGAGAATTCTTTTCAAACCATGTTGTTTTACTGATCAAAATCATACTTGGTGCAGAAGAAGAAGTTTAACATTGAAGATTATGCAAGGTATTCAGGATCAAATTTCTCATTAACTAATGAAACACCTGAAAACTTTAGATGGAAAAAACTGAAAAAAACATGTTTGTCTCTTTAGAACCTTATATTCCAACGTCTTCAGACATTCAGTATATAAATCTGGGTGGAGAATCAATAGGAATTCAACCTAGAAAAAGAGGGTTTGGTTTTTGTTTTTTGGGTTTTTTAATAGTACTCCTTACTTTACTAATCTAATCTTTTGCACTGGCAAAATTGTGACAAGTATTTAATGTTAAGATTATGGGGTATGTTTYTGTTACAGGATTTGTAAAACACATWCTCATCTGTTTGAATGCAGGTACATCACAGAGGAGAGTGCATTCAATTTACAAGAGAGATTTGCACTAGAATTTAGAGACACACAACAACAAACATCTCAATATAATACTAACTTGGAAGCCAGGTGCAAGTTTTTCAAATTGTACATGTATTTTTAAAAAGATACTGCCTTTTAAATTGTTTATAYATTGAAGCCTTTTCATTAAAATCAAACACTTTTTAAAACTGGTAAAATAATAGCAGCAATATGGGAGAATATCTAAGCCAYATGAATATTAATAATTAAAATAAAACCAGACATGAAATATTACATTAGTCAGATGTTTGTGTTAATACCGAGTAACACACAATTATTTATGTCAAACCAAGGAATCTGTTGTATAGTTCTGTTGTATAGTTCAAAGTTACCATTTACAAAGCAGCACTGATTGCTGACTTTCACAATCATCTTTCTGGAGTGTTCTGGAGAACTCATTTGAATCTTAAATTCTGAGTCTGACCAGAACAGTTTTTTCCTTTTTGTTTAGGAACTAAGGATGCTTTTAAATAYGGATTCCTTAAAAYGAGGCTTATTTTATTTACACTATTYRAAGTTTACTTTTCCTTCCAACAACGAAATGTGCAGGAGGATTTACTACATGCTATACAATGTAAAAATAGACTTTAAAAAGTCAGAACGATGCAAGTAAAACTGTACAATGTTTKTTCCCTGCTCCAGTTCATTGCACTATTAAGTTAAACTGGATGAGYTGTCATGCCAGATGACTTATTGTAGGATCAGAAAATCCAAACACACAGAGAAGGTAAATGAATACTGCTTTAGGTATAGTGCCAAATGAAAAAAAAATACTATGAGTTATATCCATGGAAAGCTTCTCATCACAGAAAGGAGCACAGCTAATTCTGAAAGGCAGCCCTCTTCATGTAGGACACAGAACTGCAAAAAAAAACACAAATGCATATTGATAAATATCAATGAAGTTGGTCTGCATAAAAATGTAATGTATATACTAAAATATTTAAATGTTGCATTCTACCCCATTAGTAACACAGTAAAATCTAGTAATCAACTGAAGCTGGCAATTAAGTATTCAGCCTCGCTCAAAAGGTAATGAAGTGACACAACCCACTATCTTTAACTAACATTATCCAGAAATGAGTTAAYTAAAGGTCATGTCTTAAATAGTGCTTTTTAAAGTGTCATATCAGAAAACAGAACATTAARTAACAGGTGATGCATGCAGTTATATTTTAAAAATATGCACTGACAATTTGAGATTCTAACTCTATTTTCTAAATCTGGTGAGTGTACAAGAATCACACAGTGGGAAGATAAGACATGTCCTTCATGTGTTTCTCATTCCTGTTTCAATGTAAGACACAAACCTCAGAGCAATCCAGCTTTCAAACCAATGCTAGCACAAAAGCAAATAAAGAAGTCAGGTGTAACAATTAAACAAAAAAACTTTAAAGGCAAGAAAATAAATATTCATATTATCTGAAATACTTGCATAATTTAATAATGGAACAAGGCACAAATTCTTGCTTCATTAAAACAAAAAAAAAAGGTATTTTAAGTTTTTACTTGAAAGATCAGGTATGAAATAGGAAGGTGAAAGATGGACAATTATTCTGCTTTCATGACATCTACATTCAGAAAAAAAAGAAGAAAACAATACTAGACATTTCATGCATTTTACTAAYGTGTAATGTATAGCTTATTATTTTTAGCACTCTTTTTGTCACAATTACTGTTTAAGGACAGTTGGAAAAGAACACAAAGCTTAGYAGTAAATACATCTTATAACAGTTTACTGTGATAACACATCTGATTTCAAAGGCAATCATTTAGCTRTAAGTACACACTTACATATTTTATATAATAGTTATCTAAAAWTTATCCTTGTACATGAAGCTAAATCTTCACGTTTTGTAAAAACTGGAAGTAAAAAGAAGTAATCTTGAAATAACGTGTCCAGACATGATATCAGACAACCTACCCTAACAGCTTAATTCTCTGTATACACTGGTTAACACTTCATATCTATCATTGATTTGTTCTGGAAGTAGCTAAATTAACTGTTTAACTGTTGCTTCCAGCAGATTTTGTCAGATATTATTCACTACCCGTATAGCAATAAAACAAGATTAATTCTCCTTCCCACAATGCTGTCCTCAGCTTCTAGTTTAAATGTGCTGTGAACTCCATCCCAGCAGGCCCTCTCCATGCTGTCATGCCCCCAAGAGACAGGAGCCTGTGTATGTGCACTCAAGTAGGTGAATCCATCAGACCGACCTGCCCAAGGAGATGTTGGCTTTTCAAGGCAACAGCCATCAGCTCAATAACAAGGGGAGTTTCAGTCCTTCTCCTGCCTAGATGCTGTTCCCTTCAGTATTTCTGTTACTCCCACAACACTTGTTTCTGTCTTGTGGGGGTGCAATTGGCAGTTGTGAGACTGAAGAAACGAACAACTGCACAGAGGCTTTTCTTCAGAAAGCAACCTAAACTTGCATACTGCAAAGATTACAAATGAAATTTGTACACTACATATAATATATGTACACTATATATAATATATATAATACTATTAATATAAATACTTATCTTCATAATATATATAAAATACTGCTTGCATTACTGTACTTGGCAAATAAATCATAGTGCAGAAAGTCATTACATTATACATCCAAGAAGAAAGAACAAAAGCTTCTTTAAGCAGAAAGTAAAAATTCAATGTGCATTGTCCATACAAACACACTTTCACCAAATAAGGTACCTATTACTGTTGCAACATGTAAAACCAATGCAGATACAAGGTATGACACAAGCCTCTCCATCTGCTTTAACTTGTGCACAAGAAACTTCACTGATGTAGGTCTTTCAATGGACATAWGCATAGTATTTTCAAAAGACGTTATATATGTTCAAAAAAGTTCAACAGAATGATGAGTACAAACAGCATTTAAATGCTGTGACCTTACTAAGCTGCCAGCTTCACTCCATTAGTGCGCATTTTTAGATAGCGAATTTCAGTCTTGGTTTGGTGTTTCTCTCCCTGTCAGTAAATTCATTCCCCTACCCTTTTTTAAATCTCAGCTTCTCCTTCATGACTCCTATTGATAAAAACATAATAACAATATTGGTATATTAAAATATATTCAGAAAAAAATTAAGCACAATTGCAAATGCTGATCTGTTTCACATTATCATTTATTTTAAGTCTAAATCTATAAAATGTAATATGAATCATATGCCAGTGGGAGAAGAACTATAGTTCACTTGCAAAGCAAATCACAAATTCCCTTTCACTATTGTTAACTTCAGGACAGAAATGTTCACTGAAAAGCATACAGAACTTCACAAAAGGAGATATATCCCCTTGAAAATAATTTAGGTTGCAGTAAGGGAAAACAAGAGAAGGCAAACTACCACACTGTACCAGACTGTCCACAGGGTATAYACTTAGTCTGGCTTTGGGATACTTACCTTTGAGGAGATATTCCTTACAGAGAAGATCCAGGGGAGAGCTAAACGACCCCTGGAAAGAGGGACCTAAGCATGACAAGGAAAACTATGATATTTTTAACACTTTGRGGGACACAAGGGGGCAGCAGAAATTGGGGAAAGAAGATGCTTTAAAGAAAGCAAGCACCAGAAATAATTTCAAAACTAATAATTTAATTGAGAAATCCATATAGAGGTGGTTTTCCCCTCTAACATGAAATGCACTAAATTGTGCTTTTTAATTTGTTTATTGTACTGAACTTGCACACCCCATGTTTTGAGGATTTCTACTTCCAGCATTTCAGAAGGATTAGCTGGTTATGAAAAGCAAAGTGCAAGAATGATCCATGATAACACAGAACATCAATAGCAGCTCTGGCTGCAGAACTCTCCTTCAAGTTCCAGTTCTGTGCTGCAGCTCCTGTCCAAACAAATTTACTCAATCATTATTAAATGAAGATAGTGAGTATAGACAACACATACAGAGGGGGTCTCTGTGTGTCTTCCTACATAATCCAAATTTCAGAATTGTTTTAGTTCAAGTTATTCAAGATAGTGAATTMTACAAAACACACTGGAATACAGAGAAAACACAAACTTACTTCACTATCTTACTTGTTTTTATCAGAACACCACTAATATGGTAAGATTTCTTGTTACATCAACACTTATGCTCAATCTTATGGTTCCCTTTACCTTTCCATGTTCACAGCATTTTTCTTTTATTTGTTCCACTGTACCAACAATACTTTGGTAATAATATTTTCTCAGAATCTTTTCCTCAGTTTTTGCCTCCGAACAATTTAAGTAACTTTTCAAAAGTGACCACCAGTATCTGGGCAAGACTATTAATAATTCTGTAGACAGCCATAACACCCACATAAGACTGCATATTCTAATTTTTTTACATACCACAGAATAGCAAGACACTGCTGCTTTAAAAAAATAATTAAGAGCGTGTTTGTAAGATTTTTTCCTGCTCTGTAAAACAGAATGTATATAAAGTTTTAAAATGTTTTATCTGTGCAGTCAGATGCCAAACTGGATTTCCCATAAAGACACACATAACCTAATCTCACAGGTAATTTACTGTCTGTTTTTTCTTGAGATGAGAAGAAAATGAACTTCAAAGGAACATGTACTGAACAGATTTAAACTGAACCAATTACCTTTGGTGATACAATTCACATATTTCAAAATTTCATTTCTTGATTAAAGCTTAAAAATCCAGTCAGTATAAAATGAATAAAATTACCACTATACCATATRTATTATTACCACTGAATCCAGAATTTCTTTTGTAAAACAAAGACAAACTCCTAAATCTTCTTAAAGACTTTTACCTTGCCAAGACATTTTAAATCTTTACAGTGAAGAGAACAGAAACCTCAAAAAGTAGGTCCCTCCTTTTATTTTGGAACTTAAGAAATAGGTTAGAATTTCAGGTATGAAAGCTCAGCTGGAAGTTGATCTAAGTGGTTGTAAAGAATTCAACCAATCTCCTTTTAACAAGCTTTAAAATTAATGTCCAGACAATAGATGGCTGGAGTTTCAGACCAGGAGTATTAGTGGCAGAAAAAGAGCAATATGTTATAACTTCAGAAACAACTGGAAGACTTTGCTTGTGCCACAGAATAAATCTACATTACAAGGTAATGCTGTTAACTGAATAATAAATATTTAACATAATGTCAACACAGCATATGAAGCTTAGTTAAGGCTACACTGAAGGGAAGAGTACAATTCTGTGCTCACTYGCTCTGTGCTCACAACTGCCTACCACTGATCACATAAACACAGAAAGGATGAAGRAAGGCTTGGTTCTGGTCACTAAAGAAGTGGTAGCTGATGGGAAATTGTCTTTTCCTTTCAGTATGAGTGATGTGAGTGATTACTCTTCATATTCCCCCAATTYGTGTTTCAAAATTTAAAGAGAACAGTGTTTGCATATGATGACTGTTTGATCCAAGACAGTCAATGTACRATGTTTTTGTAATTGTCACATCTTGCCAGTAGAACATCCCTGGTGATTTTTGAGTAACGAGCAGGCAGGAGGCARGAAGGAACATCGGTTCAAGCTTCCTAAATCATCTTCTCTTATGTTCAGGTAATCTACTTTTATAAGCCCTATTTGCCTATGAAGAAGATTTCTCCATTTCCCTAAGCTGCCAGTTTCTTCTCAATACCCCAGTAATCTGAAAATTCTTCTGGACAGCTACATCTAAAATTATGAGCAGACACTGTGAAGAGCACTATKAAATCCAATCACTTACTACCAGATGTATTGTGAAGAGCAAACAGTTCATCCTCTTGGGTCAAAGATTCTGCTTCACAAAACTACAGTCTAGTGCCATCACCATTAAAATAACTTTGACCTTTACCCTACATGGCTCACAAAAAAATACATCTAACTGAGGAAGAATTTTAGAAAGAGCAAGTAAACAATGGAGAAGCCAAAGAATCAACTGAAAGGATCTCTGCATTCTCATTGTATGTGGTAGTTCTGCAACCCTGCACAGAACTTARAAATGATACTCTTCCAACAGAAAGTCTGTTGGAGCTTCCAGAATACTGAATGGTTTTTTTCTCACATTTTCTGAAGTGACAGCACACTGTATGTCRTTCATAACTTAAACCTGAAAATACATTCAAATATTGGTGAGATGAGAGTATGAGAGTGACTGTAAACTTGTGTTAGAAATACAAAAACCTTAAAAAAATCATATGGAGCAAGTTAAGTCAAATGATAGTATATCTGAGAAAATAGTGAGACTTGGAACGTATGATGCCAAAAGAAGAGAAACTTTTGSAGCATATGAAAAGCAGAATATAATAAACATTCTGGTGGCAAATGAAAAGGCATCYATCATCCTTCTGTACAGCTGTTTGTTCAGATCTTAGGAATTTGATGCATTTGATAAACTAAACACTAAAAAAATTGTATCATATGCCAAGAATTAAGTAAGACCAYAAGCATTAGTAAGATCTAGGCAAAAACGTAATCAGATGAAAAACATTTAATAATAGTTTAACAACCTGGAAACTACCTGGAAGAACTTCTTAAAGCTAAAGCAAACACATCTTTTCAATGTATGACTTCCTATTAATATACYCATTATATACAACTGGAAAATAATTGACGCATACAAAAACTTAAAATCTGAAGAAGGTACAATAAGTAAAAGGAAATACTTCATACTATTTATCAGAAAGTAACACTTGAAATGAAGCCATAAGCACTTTGCATGCTGTAGGATCACTCTTTTTAAATACACCTTAAATGTACATTAGTTTACAATCAAATAAAATCTCTGCTACAAAATACACTCACCCTTTAAAATATAATCTGTTAACAAGCTTGGCACTTTCTCGCTGTCCTCTTTCATGGCATGCAGAACTAAAGTATGAAAAAAATAAATGAGATATTTAGTCATAAATTAAATGCAACACTTAAAAAAAATACCACAAAGCTGTTGCAGCTACTCATAGAGATAATACTACCAGAAGTAAGAAATCTCTCAACTGAAATATGGGAAGATACAATGAGACACATCATATCCCCTCCACCTTTCAGTTGCATAATTCTCACTGAGCTCCACAGTTCACAAATGCAAGAGTCTCATTTCATGTGGTTAATTACTACAGTAAAATGCCATCAGTCATAACAATAGCAAGAAGCACAAAAAATTCTCACCAAAAGAAAGTCATGATAYCCAAAACTAAACTATGTTATCAACTATTGATGGGCTAGAAATCTCAGGCCAGAAAAGCATGCTCCATTACTTAACATCTTTGATCATTACCTCAAATAATGGAACAAAGCTGTGAATTGTTCTGTAGAAATACTAGTGTTGCATTTTTCCTCCCTGAAATGGTGAATGTTATCTGCTGTAGCTTAGAAAAAATTCTTAAATACAAGACTGAATTAGCCATTAACTTAGAATAATGCAAAAATGCCTTTTTGTGACATACATGAGTAGATCTTGCTCATCCTGCCTGTTTCTGAAGAAGGAAAACACATGGACCTGCTTGATTGGACACATATAAGCCTGTCCGTCACCACACAASGAAAAACAATAACTATTCTTTATAAAGTGCTCAGGACATGACTGAAAGAATCAAAAATACCAAATTATACTGAAAAGCAATATTTAATGAACTTCAAATTTGTCATATGAGACTCTAAAGTCAAATTATAACATGTTTTAGTTTAATTTTTATGTTGAAGTAAGACATTAGTGTTCGTACCTATGAAGTAACACACAGCTTTGAAAAAAAAACAACTGAACAACACTAAACACCTGCTTTACTGCCTGCCTTAACAACAGCACAGACAGTGAGTCACAAGTCTGCAACTGAGTCACAGGATCAAGTTCCAACCAKCCCACAGAAATCAATACTGTTAATACTCTTTATAATGCATTTGTGTAATGCATTAACATTTCGTTAATAAACCATCAAACAACATAAAATGTTTTCAAGAGACTTTAACCTGTGCTTAAGACTGTCAAGTAAAATTTAAATATGGCAAGAGGATAAATTTTCACTGCAAGAATAAACATAAAATGAGAAATCCTTTGTCACAAAGTAAGTATGAAATAACAGCTAAGAGTGCCTACTGCAGAAAAATAAAGGGAATTTTAATTCCTACTTAAACATTTCATTTACTCTAGAATTTATATAATGTTTATTTTCTCTTTCCAGGAAACAATCAACGAGGCTTTTACTACTCCTCAGCCACTTATGGAATCACAGAACTGAGCTGCTGAAAATCACCTTAAGATACAGCGAGATTTTGCACTCCTGATCAAATGATGCCCTCTACCATCTATTTTCAAACTGTTCCCATAAACACCCAGTGAAGGAGATGCTACTGACTCCTAGAGAATGCTCTGTTGTATTAAATCATCTCAATAAGTAATTTTTTTTTAAAATACAACCTTGATTTTTGCAAATTAGAATTAAAAAAAACAATAAAATCAGAGAACTTAGAATTCATAAATAATTTTGAGGATCTGGCCTAAAAAGGTGTGAAGAACAGGGAATTCAAAGCATTGTCAAAACTCTGTTTGGTCTGGAATCCCTAACTTTTGAGGTTTATTAACGAAAATCTCCCATCAATACCATGGAGAGAAGCAGACTATATTAAAGGCAATCAAGTGTAGTCATGGAACTAGTCTAAAGTAGCTTGACATCCACTCCATTTTGTCAAAGTCATTACAAGAAACTCAATTAAGCACAGCACATGTAAATACACATATCAGGCACTATAAGAACAAATTGCAATGATATGCAGCCAACATCAAAGTGTGAGAACWTTTGCTTCCTGACACATGCAAGCTTCTGGCCTTCAGGGCTTCAGAGAACAGCTAGGAGACAAACTTACCATGAAGGCTCAGAAAACAGGTTAAGCTGGACTAAATGTATAGCTAAAATCATGCATCTTTACATACATGCCATAGGGTAAGGGGGAAGAGAGAACTGGATGGATTCATTGGCTTTGAGCAACCACAACTGGAAATGGAGAGAGAAAAGGATCAGTGGACTTTCATATGCTCACTTTTGGTTAATGTTTGAAGGTCTTCAACAGATGGGGGTCCATTTTTCTTCTCATAAGGAATGACGGTTGTTAAGTACTGTCAAATGAAAAACAGAGTTACTTGACAGTCCTCGACAGCAACTTTGTTGCTTGCCTTTTATTTTGTAAAAATCATAGCAACTGAAATTGCTAGCCACAAATAATCATATTTCACAAGACATTAAAATCCTACATTTCCTATCTCAGAGCTTTTATCACAGAAACCAACTTTTCTCACTAATTATGTGGCCACTAGAAGTTATGCAGCAAACTGTCCTCACTGCAAAGAAAAATAGGCGGCCCCACAGTTAGGTGAAAATGATACAAGATGGCTTTCCCCTTCTGCTGCTATACACTTCCAACCAAAAAGAATAAAGCAAGCCTAATGAAAGKAAGAATTTTGAATTTGATTTAAATTATCAGTTTTAATAGTGGAATGTGCTAACAAATTCTTCAAACCAACTCCTTTTTTATTCTATTTACTGAAATCTTTGATTCTTGTCTGCTTTTAAAAAGCCCACACCAAATCTTAAATCTTTCAAGATTTTTATGTCTGCACTGCAACTAAGATTAATTTTCAAATTCTTGAAGCAACCCTGTTGGTCTTTTATTAAGTTCATTTTAGGCGACATCTTATTTTGCAGCCTATATGAACGCATGTTCTTCTTAAAGACATCAGAATTTCAAAAGTACTGAAACAGCTAGAATTTTCCCCAATGCAAAAGCTTCCCAAAATTTCCCTCAATTCAATTTTTAAGAATTTAACAGGAACTTTATTTATAACAGCTACAAGGCAGTAAGCAAAGTAACCCTCAATCTCTCATTCACTTTGAGATCTATGTAGCTCTCCAGGCAACAAGCAGGAAACATCTTACAAACAAGGTACAAGGTCTTGTGCTTTCCTGGTAACAGCCCTTCAGTGAGAGCCAAGTGTAACTCAGCCTCTGGTGGAGAGCTGCACTTGCAGGAGACTGAGGGTTGTCAAACACRGCTATAACCATGGCCATGTTTGCAGCAGGACCATGCACCCCATGCTCAACCACATCATGTGCCTAAAAGCCAAACAGACTCAGTTCAGTGTCACTTAACCAACTGTACAGGAGGTACTGACACTTCTCCAAGACCTCCTGCAAACATGGGGCACTTTCTCCCTCCTTTTCTTCTGGCATTTTCTCATGTCCACTCAGCACAGCAAAGTTTGTAATGCCTCTTATGAAACAATCAATTTTCAGTTTMTTTTCCAGGAGATGTAACCAACAAATATCATCAGAGAACTACCCTCTTAATAAAATTACCAGAATCAATAGATAGATATAAGGCTGCTGAATCTGCCAATGGCAGAGATAAAAGTGGAKCTGCTAACACAGAAATCAGATTTCTGGCTGCCTTYCAGCCTTCAGAACCAAGTGGCATTCTACCCTTTACCTAGACAATAAACTACTAGGATATTTCAYTGCACCAAATACCAACTGACCCTGTTTCCCTTCTCTTGTAAACTCCATTTTCCATTTTTCCTCTCTAATAGYAGCAATTAAAAACATAAAAGTGATTTCTTAGTTTCCAGAAACACTTTCCTTCTTCTCATCAACTTTGCAGCTGTAACAGTCTCTATAATAGCACTATAAAAGCCAATTCCTGAATTGCTGTGGGAAGGGTAACATGTTATGAAAAKAATGAAAGAGTGACTGAAGTGTGCTGACATGACCAAGTGTTAAATCTGCCRTGACCTCTAAATTTTGGAAGCAGATTTGATGACATGATAAAGCAGCAATTCCCATTGCAATTTTTCATCACCTATGAAAAGTGTTTGCTATGCCTGAAAATAAAAATGACAATGGCTGTCTTGAATTTTCTTCTAGGAATATGACCACAGAAAGAGCTACCAACGTTTCAGTGTCTTTTTTTTAACTGCATCATCAGATAGGAACAGGGAATTCCCACTGCAAGTTTCTCTTTATATGCTGAAAAATTCTTAACTAATGTTCACTTATGTCTCAAACACACACACAGAAAAAAGGACTAAGATTTTAAAAATGAAAGTACCCGTTATCAGATAGTAGTAGAAGGGGAAAAGTATTATTGAAATTTAAAAAAGAGTTCTGAAATAATTGTACAAACTTGTCATACACTTTTTTATGTTGAAACTTATGTGTAGGAACTTCTGGCTTCCAAGGTATACAAAAAAATGCCTGTCCTTGCATTTTCTTTGACCACAATTCCAGATTCTAACGAACTCTTCCCTGCTAGCAGAAAACAACCAAATATGAGTTTATAACGATGCCCTGTAAAAAACACTCCAATTAATATTGTGAGAGCAGCATTAAGTAACTGAATATTTGATATTTGTTTAATTTTGCAACTTGTTGAAATAAGATTACACCAGTATTTCAAAAGCAGTGCCAGTGACAAAAAACCTAATCAAACAAAAACCTTCCAAACAGAAAACAAATGCTATAGAAAAATTGATTTCCAGGAATAAATCAGAAYGGAGCTGGTATATTTTCTACCTTTCTACCCTATTTTTAAGTTCATGTTACTTCCATGATTTGCTTTAGGATACAGGAAGGGGAAAAAAAACCCCTTAACTATGAGGAAATAGAAAAAGATAAGTCAGAAGAGTGTAATCAACATGAAGAAAAACGTCAGGAAATTAACTCAAAAAATGACTGAAAAAGTTATTTCATCAGTGTTACTTTTAACATAYGATTATGCGACCTGTGTCTACATAGGAGGCAGTGAAGGTCTTTTAACAAAAATGTGATGGGGTGGCAGAGCTAAATATGCTTACTTAATGAAAAGATATGATATTTAGAATGGCTAAAGATACAGGTATAAACAGCTGTAATTTATGGTAAAGATAGCAAAGAAAAAAAAACAAAAACACAGCACACAGGTACAGCTYTACTAGTACTGTGATAAGGCCGAGTTTAAAAACTTGTTAGCTAAGCTCTGTGCCTGTGTTCAAGATCTGCAAAGCTGAGGACAAACAAATAGCAGGATCAATGAATTAATAAAATCTCATACATATACCTTGCCTGAGAAAGTGGGCAAGTCTTAGATTTCTAACCTCATGATTGCAGAATCATTTGAGAGGAGTTGTTTTACCCCCCAAACTCCTCTGCAGGATACAACACTCATCTTCCAGATAAAAGCCTAATCAGCCTTGACTTCTAAACTACCAGTCAATTTATTGCCTCAATGGACTTCTCACTGGAGAGAAATAAATAAGTAACTCTAACGGACTCCTATGACAAAACTGCATAAACTAAAATAGTGGGTATACATTAAATAATGTGAAATACCAATATTTTGCAAAGTGTGTCAAAAGACTAGACAACAGCATAAGCATTAGCAGTTCACTGAAATTTAGAATGCAGATAATAAAGTATGTACTACAGATCTGAAACAACAAGCCAAGTTATTACTTTGAAATTAGGTGTAAGAATCTTGCTTCCGATGTACACTCATCTACATGATTCCCACTGAAGCTGGGTCTCTGCTCTACATTTCAATATTTAAACAGCCAATTAAAAAACACAAACTTGCCTATAGCATGTGCATTTTATGTAGGTAATCTGCATTGCATATTTTGGCTGCTTTCAAAATCATGCAGTTWTCCAAGGCAAAAGAAAATACAGTCTAAACATTTTTCAGGTGCTACTCCGTTTTTACATGTATCAGCTCTGAACATTTTAAAAAAAAACCAAAACCTTTATTCATCATCCAAGTTGCTAAAKCTGAAGGCTGAAACACTGCATCTAGCCTGATACAGGTTCTTTGACTGGTTATTAGATTTTTACAGACATGCAATGTATCTAAAGCATGCATTATGCTAAAACAGCCTTTTAGTCTGGGGTAAGAAGTATGGGTTATTAGCTCAGTGCATCAGGGTATTAAGTCTTGAATCCTTTGAGCTGTTGAGGAGAGAAAGAGACTGTAGGCTGATCAGAATCCTGAGTTAGGAAGGAGTAGAGATTCCAGCATTTTATGCTGTTTTTTCCTGTCTCAGCATTTATCTTCAACTACTGTCAATTTTCAAGACCTCAGCTCCTACTGAAAGTGCAGGCAAAGAAGGAGAAAAAAGGGAGAAGATAGCCCAGCACCTGTTTCTCTCCGCTCGAGTTTCCAAACGTGTGGCGGAAGCCATTCTGTATGACATTTGAGATCCCTTCCATGCTGAAGCGCTAAAAGTAGTGAAAACATAGCAGAAAGAAAAAAAAAGGGACAGARAAAAGTTCAAAAGACTATTAATCAGCATTTCTCAAGACTATGAAAGACAAATGACAAAGACAAGCTCCAAGATGTATTTCAGCACATTTCTATTTCTTCACTCATCTACTTTATTTTTTTAATTAAGAAGCAAACCTTGTAATGACAGTTAAGCAGTATTCCGACACCAAAATTTATGTAAACAAAATCTTCACACTGCAGACCCAATAACTGAAACCTGACTTTTACATTGTTTCATTTTCAATTGTAAAAAATAGCATTTTTCAAAGTTCAGCTCCCAGTAAAATCTCCTCTAACATTTGAGTTTGAACAACATATGTTAAGAGACACTACTGATATCAATTTTTCAGATTTTAAGCATGTACTAGTAATTTTCAGCTCAACCTCTTAAAAATTTTTTATGCTTTCATGCTTCCTTTTCCACATTTGAAACAACAATTGGTATTGCCCATTTTCTGTAAGATGATAAAATATATGCAATTATTTACTAACATACTCATATTGATTTCAAGCTCCATTACATGGAATCATGGAATACAAGTAAAGAAAAAGTAATATATAATACATTTTTTCCTTAAACTTTGTAATCCTTTTCTGTTYGCTGGCAAAATTTAAAAAAAAAATCAAAACAGTTTTGATGTTTRGCATGACATATAAAAATCAGCAAGTGACAAGAATATAAAAACAAGAAACTGCCAAATGCTGACACAGGGCAGTGTGCTGAGCACACCTCAGCATGTTAATCTGAATGCATGTATTTATGTGAGGAATAAAATGTGCTGAATACAGTATTCATTTGCTTTCTAAAGCACACAAGGCCAGTAAAGACATAAATTTTGCCAAAGCCATCTTAACTCTTYTAAGATATCCCACCTAAAAGAAACTGGTATCTTCAATCTCTGACTATTTTTACCTGCTCCCCAGTTTCCCCYTGTGAGAGGTAAAAGTTTTGAAGCCTAAGAAAGTGATTTAGCCAAAGACTGTATCAAGGTCAAAAAAATTAAAATACCTTTTTTYCCCCTATTCATTTATAGCATCTAAAAGACAATTCTTCTTCCTAARAGTATGAAAAATTAACTCTACTTCCCATCTTTTACTTAAGGAAGACTTTGTTATAGTTACTAAAATTACCAATAAGTACATTATTTATTAACAAAAAGTCAGTCTTCACAAAGCTASTAAAACATACTATCTGTATGCACATTCTTAGCACATTAAAAAAAAAAAAGAGGAAAAAAAGGAGCACTGAGGAAAGGAATCTTGCACCTCCTTCTGGGAGATGGCTCTCTAATCTGTCCAGGGTGACAGTGAAATCCATTTTAAAAGGAATCACACATATTCAGCTAGTCTCACTCGTGAACTAGTCTATTCCATCCCTCTTAGAAAGAAAGCAACATCTGTATCTTGAAGCGATCAAACATGAAAATGTCTTATACTGGGACCACGTAAGTTATACCTGAAAGCATAATGAAAGTTTCTAAACTAACCAGAAAGTTTAYGAATCATTTGACTCAAGTTTCAAAACAAAGTAATCATTTTTCTTTCTTGGTAGAATATCCCTTTTCGGTTTTCCATGACTGAGAAACAAAAAGGAACTATTCACTGTGCTCTCATAATGGAATGACAATTTTGTATGGTTTTCCAGACATATACTCTCTCAAAGTTCCACTAAAACTTAGCTACACACACACAAACATCTCTCATTTGACAAATGAGATCAGAACCCTATTTGGGTTTTATCACCAGTATCTTATTCTTGTAACCGTAGAAATAAATTCTGAAGTATTAATATTTAATTATAAATGTTTATTCCTGACATTTGAAAAGCAAACCCCAAAACCTTCTGATTTCAAACCGAAGCATTTTTTCTGGGACTTAGCCAAGATCTACAAAACCACATTTTCTACATTCTGTAAGAGGAATTAAGAAATTCAAACATTAACATCTCACTTAGGTAAAAAAATTGAATTGAGAAGCTAATAACCTAATTTCGTTTGTTCTCCAACTCCTCTCATTCAACTCTACTTAAAAGACATTTTTCCTTTTGTTGCTATGTTCTGAAAAGAATAAAATAAATGATCTCTTCTCTGTACACTCGCACTACACTTTGGCCTCCTCTCTGTCTCTTGCTGAATGTAGTAACTCTGACACAGGTTAGGAGACTCAGGGTAACACAGGCACTGTTTTCCTACCTAAAAACCAGTATGATCAATAAATATCTGTGCAACCACAGCAGCAGCCATACTGAATTTTCTGCAAGACTAACACGTACTAAAATTCACACAGTGAAACCAAACAGATAAATGAATTTACCTACTGACAATAGAACACAGAGAATTTTTTGCAAGAAAGGTATACTAGTTCCAGGCTAACTTGCAAAAACGTTAGAAATATCCTTTCTGAGTAGAAGAGTAAAATATATGGACTTGTGAAAAAACATTCTCAACAGAAAGTGTTTAAGCCTTGTTTGTGAATGAAGGCATGGAAGCAGAAGTACCAGGTATCTTAATATAATCTAKGACTACTACTTCCCATAGGGGAAAAAACAAACAACACATTTTAAATGGATAAAGACTTATAAAAWTTTTCTTACTGTTCCAGGCATATGRCCTCTTTCTTGTTTGCCATTCTGAGGACTACCATTTTTCAGCTTCTTTTTCTTCTTTGCTGTTTCTTTGTGTTCTCGCTGTTTGTTTTGTACTTCAATGAGGACAGAAATGAAGCTGTTTTTCACTTCCTTCTCAAACTCCAACTCATCTCGTAGAGCTAACTGCTGYACTAGCTCCTCAGAATAATCCTTAATAGCAGTCTCAATTTCTTCTAGCAGTTCATTTAATTCAGCAACAGACAACCTTTTCACTCCTGCAAACAGTTAATTTAAAAAGTAACATGTCAAGATTTTAAGAAGAGGAACTTGTGCGAATTACAGAAGGAAAATACTCAAAAATTTATCAAAACAAAAAATGCAGTTCTAAAATCACATAAAMCAAAACAATATTCCTGAAAGAATAAACACATCCCAATGGTGACAAGGTCAGCAACAAAAACATGGTTAAACTTCCTTCTTACTTCTGAGAAATCTGAGATAATCTGCAAATATGAAGAGTGTGTTGGTGGTTTATGCTGGAAGCTGAAGTGCTAAACTTCTGACGCAACTGTTAACTATTACTTTCCATTGCACTCACTGTTAACAGTAAAAGGCCTTCATATTTTCTGAAATTATGACTAAGAAAATGTTCTGAGGCTTGCTTGGGTTAAAAGTGAGCACATTCTTTTGAGGACTGCTTTCTGTTCCAGTTTAAGTTGACAACCTAGGAAGCTGGTTAAGTCCCAGCAGTTGCTGTGTCAAAGAACATAATCTTATTTGGCACTTGAGAAACAGCTAGTCCTGATTACACTGAAAGGTACAATCKGTTTAAGGACATGGCATAGATGCCTGCAATTATTTAGTTTCATTTCATTAGTCTAGTAAATACTGTGTCTAGAAGAATTCTTGTACACACAAGTGTTGAAAAATACAAATAAGGCCACAAACTACAAAGAAGTGTAGCTTTTAGAAGCATCAAAGGCAGTAAGTCAAATGTGAATTTTTTTCTTTTAAATTACAGCAGGGAAAATTGATTGGAGAAAGATCCTTCTCATTTTTTTAACTAAAGAGAAGGCAATGAAATCTGTTAAGACAATTCTGTCAAGGAGCCACAAGGTTTTTCAAGGTAGGTTAGAACTTAAACTCTGTTCAAACACAGTAACAGCACTGACAGAGAGCACTGCAAGTCCCAACACCTGAGAACCATCCTCACAGCCTAAGAAACAATTGTTCCAAAAACACATGTGCAGGTCACCCAACTACAGTCCTGACTGATGACTTATCAGGTGTCACTATCAAAGTCTACAAAGGGCTTCATAGGAAATACTCATAGGAGCAAAAACAGAGGAATTCAAATACAGAAGAMTACATGGACTGAAACTTAAATAGGCTGGACAACTCACTTGTGTAATCAGAGCTTTATTTTTGGATTGCTTTAGTGTATGTCTTTTCCTACCCAAGAAAAAAATAAATGCAAGTGATTTCCTGMTCTGAATCCTAAATGATTGCTGATCTATCCTATAAAAGCCAGAAAAGTTTCTAGGAAAAAATGGTAAAAAATTCAGAGAGATGCAGACCAATTCTGAAGCACCTTCACATGCTAAAAGTAGGTAGAGAGAGCTTTTAATAAAATAGTGACCTGAAAAACATGAAAGGAGATTCTGAGAAACTGGTGAAACATAGTTAAATTATCTGCCAGAGTAACTCAAGGCATTATTTGGTCCAGACTGACCTTTAAACCATAAAGATACTACAGACAAGATGGACTCCTGAGGCAAAGCAAAATAAATATGATGTGAAATATCGAGCAAGCCTGATTAGCTCCAAACCTTGAGACATATGGAACTGTCAGAAAAGCAGGAAGCTCTGCTGAACACAATACATTTTGCTTTCACGTTTCTGAAATTTATGTGTTGAGACAGTTAAGAGACCATTTTCATGGCTGGAATCTCTTCCATAAATCTGAAATGWAGTAGAAACTGTAAGTCATGCCACAAGAGGTCGGCCAGTTTTCTGAACCTTCTAGAGAGTTTATATTGTTGACCCAGACTACAGGAAAGAAAGCACCAAACTTTTTAAAAGGAACCAAAGTAGAAAGATCATCTATCAAATATTCCTTATGTCCCTACTACCTTCCAGAATCTACATTGACAAATGCACAGATCAAACAAAATTTTCCATCATGAAACTGATCAGTCACATGTTTCTTTTACATACAATTCAACCTAYTACAATTAAATCGTTCCTGTAATTTCTCTGCATTTTTAGAGGGAAGCACARATGATTTCATTTGAGTAGAAGATACAAAGAMTATTTKTAACTTTTAAGCTTTCTGAAGAGGCATGGAATGGAAGGACCAAAAAATATGAATGGTCCTTAGGGGGGAAAAAGAAAGGGTTGCCTTATTTTTGTGTTACTGTCTATCAAGGTATGTTGCAATGACTGAAACTGTAACAAAGGTATGGTAAAGTTTTATTTACTGTATAACTTTCAAGAGCTTTAGCTGATCTGAAACAGTGTACTGGCACTAAGAAAGTGCCTCGCTTTACAGAAAATAATGAGGTTTAATAAAAAATAACCAACTTATCACTTCACCCATGAAGGAATCTCACTCCACTGTATCAACCTGCAGAGCATTTGTTTTACATTGAAATTCTATTAAGTTTTATTTTTGYTCTCAGTCATAAGAAAGCTGACAAAGTTAAGTCCTCTCTTTATTTTCTAAATCTAGGCTATACTTTCATGACATTTGAAAGTCATTTTTGAATGCAGATATTTCATAAGAAGGACTTRTTATGAATCAAACACATGGCAAACCTGTCCTTTAAACTATTTTCAATAAGTATAAGAGCAAAAATACTAAATAAATATCACTTACTCTCCTCATAGCTGTTGTTTGTACTGGATCTCTTGAGTGTCTGAATTTCCTGGGAAAGTATAGAGAGCCGATCTGATTGGGTGGGTGTTTCATCATCTTCTGGATCAGGCGATTCCTGCATCATTTCCTCAATTTCTTCAATAACCTTTGAAAAATGAAAAACTTTATGAAAACCCTCCTGCATGAAGACCAACAGCCTGCAATATGAAGCAAAGCTGGATGAAACTAGCACCAAGACTGGATGGAAGAGGATCAATAAAACTGATATTTCCTATCCATCTTTGCTGAGAATAAGCACATCTTGTTACACTAAACTGGTGATCTCATAACATGGAGTGTGTTGAAAGTACAGGGTTATTTCTATATGAAGGTACCCATGATTCTGCTTAAGAAAACCAAATTAAAGGGTGAGCTGGAGTATCTTTCCTGAATATTCAGTTGAAGGAAGACACAACAAAAATCAATTACCTTCCCCACCCCCTAATGCACCATACTTCTCTATGTAAAACAAACACCCCCCACTCCTCTGACAAAAAATCAGTGGAATGAAAACAAACAAAAAAGAACAGAAGAAAACCTCACMAAAAAAACCCTCAAAAAACAAAGATCCCCTCTGAACAGCCTGAAAATCTACTGTGCTCATGAGAAGTTTTATGAACTGATCTAGCATAACCTGAAGCTGCTTTGCATCCCTAGGCATAAAACCTGAGCCAGACAGAAGTATGACAACAGAAACTCTGTGCATAGATAGCTTACATCGCATAAATAACCACATTTCTACAGGCTAAATTATTAATTAGACATTKGAATAAATAACATATCAACTTTTAGAATTTTAAAGGCTGTAATCAGAGCTGAGATCCAATGCACAGTAAAAAAGAGCKGAGGCAGTTCAAGCAATCCTATTTCCCATATTATTAATAACCATGTCCATCAGAGTTCATAGGTAACCATTTAAGCAACAATGAAATAGAATATTGTGTATGCTTACTATAGCAGGATCTTAAGAGATCTTACTCTCATTAACTTACTCAAAAGAGCAATTTTCAAGATAACAGAAGTAAATCCWTGGATTTGAAGCCTTTGATACTACATAATTTGAAAGTTTAGTAGCAGAAACACTAATCTGCACTCATGTTAGACAAAAACTTTAAAGAATTCTTGCTAACAACAATGCCCTTTGAAGCCATTAACTGCCACACAGTCATGCTGCTAACACACCACTAAGATTTCAAAAATATTTTTGCTTTTTAAAACAAATATTTAATTTAGTAGCATTCCTGACTAAATTATGGCAAGAAATATATAAATATTTCAAAGACCCTGAACTATCAACCTCACCTGAAGTAGGGGAACACTTTTCAAAYCTGAATGACATAATGCTATCTCACACATTATTAAAACCCTAAACAAAGAACAACCAAGAAGCTTAGCTACAGGAAGAGAAAGAACAACAACAAAAAATAACAGACTGAAAGAATGTACTACACCAACAACACTGTCTTTGTGGAACACTTTACCTGCTCTGCTGTGAAGAGTGGTTCTTCATTGATGCAGGAAACAATGATAGAATGCATATCCARCTGTTCTCTCAGCTCTTCATCATCTGACAGGTCAAGGTTCAAGTTGTCATTTACCTAAAAAGCATGACAAGGTCATGACAAGGATAAGCATGACAATATATACACCCCAAATGTAAGTGTACGTGTACGACTGTTAAAAACAAACAGGGAATGAATATGAAGTGTAATAATGAAACTGAATCTTTGCCCGTAATAATGACTCAGTAATTCTTGCTGTCAAATAACCTGGAACATGAAATCAAAACTGCAGCTGGACAAAGTTAAACTAGCTGTCAATCTTCAACATATTTAAATAATCTCAGTACTTAAAGACCATATACACACTGACATGCAGATATCTACATGGAAGGCTGTAAATCCAATGTAAATACTTAAATCTCAACTGAAGACTGACAAATGTCTAAGTGGGGTGAAAAACCTKGCATATAATAACTACAGAAACCTGTTACTTTATGTACCTTTAGAGTTCCACTCTGTCACATAACAAAGAGCATGGAAAAAAATTGATACTGAATGTTGATATCAGAACACTGGTATCACCCCAGATTATTTAAAAAATGCATTGTTGAATATCTCAGGGTCTTTTCAAAAAGAAAGGGCAATAACACTGAGCCATATATGCACCACCAAATGATACTCATCCTTTCAAACCAAAGATATACATACTTTAATAAGTATGTATATCTCTGTAGTAAGTAATACCTTAATAAGTCAGGCATATTTTACTCCMACACAGTGATATATCCTAGTTTATTTACAAAATCGTTTATTTGTGTACTTCATCTATTACTAGATTTCAGCTACACTAATCTAGAAAAGCCCCCAAAAGCTGCAAACCCCAACCTCTGATATTTGAGTGCAACTGCTTTAACTGATCTTTGGGCTAATTTACAAGCATTATGACTGGCTGTACAAAATCCTTTGTCTCACGGTATCAGTTTTCAATTTTTCTTGTTTCTCCAATTTTCCCAGTTTCTTCAGAAACCTTAATGTTTACAGATTCATTTTGAACCTGCAACTGGTACTCCACAGAGCTCATCTGTAGCGGAAAAATTTGCACTTTTTCAGCCCTCAGAATGAAGTYAAACATCCATTTTTTTCCAGAATCTGAATTCCAGTAACTACACAGTGGCAAGGTTCCACTATGACTCTCTCTTCACCTACCAAACCATCCCAATTTGACATTTTCAAAATGGCAGTCCTCAAATATTTTTTGTGCATATAAGATTATGACAACAATGAAGGGACAGTAAGGAAAAAAAATAGTTCATCTAGAAGGAGACCTGCTCTCCCTCCTGACATCTCCAGAAACACCTTGAAAAACTTTCAGAATTTTTTAGTCTGTATTTTGATAATACAGACTAATAAACCACCAAAAATGGCATCAGCTGTAATCTGGACTAAAAGGAACACACAGATTTTGACCCAACACGGAATGACCCATTAAAAAAAGTGATCGAGCAAAAAAAAAAACCATAGAAGTGCACAATCCTACTCCTTGTACCACTGTGCAAACCACTTCCATTCAGCTACTTCTGTCACTGTCAGAGATGTATGAAAGTATCCACAGGCCTGTCATGTGAAGCAACTAAGATCAGGCAAATAAGCTTTATTGACCTTACATTTCTCCCTACTAAAACAGAGGAGAAATACTTTAAGCACAATTTCAGCAGCATATYATTAGTTTAAGAGACATCGAGGAAGTGTTGCTTAGCTGTTAGTTTTCATTGTAAGGRAGTTAAGACAAGATACTAGCTGGTCCATATGTGCTGTCACATATCCAGCAATACTGCTGAACACTAAGAAGCAGAAGAAAAGTATGTCAAATGCTCCCCACAGTCTTTGCACATCAGAAGGCAAGCCATGTGGAGTGAAAGCTGAAAAAACTTGAGACACGTTTAATCCCTAAAGTGGTTTTCTCTCTACTGGCARCGTACCTAGGATTCTTTCTAATCCAGCAACACCACTTTTTAATGYACTTTCTTTACAACTTCCTGCAAAACACTTATAAAAACTAAATGAAACATTTTTTTATACATATAATAGTTTCTTATCAAGAAATCCATTGGTTTTCCAGTACATTTTTCCATGCCAAAAGRTCACAGCATGGGTGGACTGTATTTTTACTTAAAATGTACTGAATTACTTACAAACCACTTACAAAATCTGAACAAGCACTCAGTAACAATTAGAAAAAAACCAAGTCAAATCCAAGGTATAACCATGAGACTCAAATCAAGAGAGCTCCAAATTTGTGCCTTCCTCTACCGAACCCCAAAGAATCCTTTTCAGCAGAATAATCTCTGCTGTCACTAAAACGCATCTATTGATTATCTGRTGAATAGCAGAAGTCAAGTTTGTAACTTTCAAGTTACAAATATTTTTACAATGTAACTGAGCTTCACTATGTTTAAAAGACAAGCTAATTGTTTCCTCAGAAAACCTGTGAGATGGGAATTCCTCCTAGCTTTTCTTCCTGAAGCATTTAAATCCACTTTTAAGATCATCAGAGGACAACGCTTTCTATAAACCTCTCTGAAGCTCTTAATTCCCTTCTCCCTCCCCAGAGAACTATTCTAACTCTYAAGTAAGGAAAACAAAACAAACTCTTACACTTCAGTGTCTCCTGAGTCCTTTCCTGTTGAAGACTGTGGAATGRGATGAACTTAAAGTCCTCACTACTAAACCAGAATTCTCCTGCTTCTTTTCCTCCCTTACCCAGACCAGTGTTCAACATGAATCATACAGCAGAAAGATTTTCTCATTTTCTTCTATCATGCTCTGGCTCTAATGAACAGTTGTCTAAAACTAACCCCSAATTATTCTAACCCAAGGAGATGCAAACATATATCAATKGKGCTTTGATTTTTAAAAAKCTCTCATGTATGATGGCAACTTCTAACAATATTTTCAGGCACTTAATAACAACATTCTTTTATAGAMATGCAAACAGTTTAATTTCCCTGTCGASTMSCAAAGATCTAAAGAGGGTACTTCTGCTGATCAAAACTTACCCCTTTTTCTGAAAGATTCAGTGTTGGCAAGTGCAAAGCTCTGGTGTGGGAAGATTTCCAGTCAACTGGCATCACGTTACCATAATTATCAGTTAAAGCATTCCAAATCCTGGAGAGAGGAATAAAGCAACAAAAATGCAGACCTCAAAACAAGMAGCATCTCATCGGCAATAAACATATTCCTAATGATCATATATCTCTATCAGTAACTATATTTTCCTCCCTAAATTTTGATCTGCAAKTTACTGACAATATTTCTAGTGTTTTAAAGCTAACAGGAAATGCTTTTTGATAAACATAATTTACCGTCCTTTTTAARTAACAGTGTATGCACAGCAGTGAGACAAGACAATAAATGAACACACAGCTTCCATACTAATTATGTAACTCTACTCAAAGTCTTTTCTGGGGGTGGAGGAGTCCTTCCTTCAATGAAATTTGAGCTGAGCTATAAATTCCACTCCTAATGTTGTTTAGCAGAGGCTGAGTAGAAATTCCTGAGCCAAGTATTTAATTTTTTTCCTTTCTGTTTATCACAGAATAATGAAGATACACAAAGAATACTAAAATTGCAGAAGAATTTTTTTTTCCAGAAGTACTCTTGCAGAGCTCAGCCCACACTCCTGTCCTCAGTCATTCTTTACTGTTTGCACAGCGTACATCCTCTCTGGCTGTACTGGAGGCGTGCACACATAGACCTACCCTGGTGTACCATTCAGTCTTTAACCAAAGCTTCCCAGCGCTGTCCTGTGGGTGGATGTTTGGAATCGCTGCCTAGCTAAGGCTCAGAGCAGGTCAGAGGCAAGGCCAAGGCAGATGCAGTAGGGCAGACAGAGCCTCATCACTGCCCAAGGTGATTCATGCTTCTCTGAACTTACCTCACTGTTTACACTTCAGATTTAGTATTTTGCTAACRGGCTTGTTTTTATTCTTCTCTTAGAACAAGACATACAATTTAGTTATTTTAAAGTAAAACCACAGTATTTTTAATGAAGATAGGCTGACTAAATTTACTATAAAACAGGAAATATAAACACTAGTAAAATAATGTTAAAAACTGTACAGCAGTATGGATCAGAAAAGCTCTATTGCTCAGGGGGAAAAAAGCCAAACAATTATAGCAGCTGCATCTGCGATTTTGCTCTTCGCCTGCTTTCTGCACTTCTCATGTTTAATTTTACGCACTGAGACAGTGGGTACTTTGCAAGACGCTAAACAAATCCTAACCCCGGTCACCGCACTTCAGAACAAGTACTTCTCGCAACCCCAGCGGGGTAAGAAGCTCTGGGRTGCTCACACGCTCCCCTGGCCGTCACGGGGATAAAGCCGAAGGGCTGCGCGTCAAACCCGCCCCGCGGAGGCCGAACGTGCCCTCTCGCCGAGGCCCGGCGGCTCCCAGCTGCAGCTCCGGGGGCGGGGATAAGCTCGGCTCCTGCAGCCCACAAGCCCGGCTGGGCTCGGCAAGGCCCAGGGGCAGCGCTCTCGCAGGGCAGGGCAGGGCAGGGCAGGGCTGGCGGGCCGCGCTGTCCCCTCAGGCCGGACCGGGCCTCTCTCCGCTCCGCTCCCTCCCCGCGCCCCCGGCCCGCACTCACTCGTCGTCCTGCAGCGCGCTCTGCTCCGTGAGCGGCCGCAGCGGAACGCGGCTCTCGCCGCCGCCAGCCCGGGCCTGCGGGGGCTCGAAGCAGAGGGACAGCTTCGCCCCGAGATCCCCGCCGCCCCAAACGCCCTTGTCGCGAGCGGCCTCGGGGCCGCTCCCCGCGGAGGGCTGGAACCCCGAGAAGTCCTGCCAATCGCCCGGGTCCCGCTGCGACGCCGCCGCCGCCGCCGCCATCGCCGCTGCCGCAACTGGGGACGCGGCGCTGCGCGCTCCCGGCGGTGCGCGCTCCCGGCGGCGAGCGGCGGGCGGGGCCGGGCGGACCCACGCGGGGCTGGGCTGTGGCAGCGTCTGTGGGGCCGGACCCGGCTGGGCTGGGCTGGGCTGTGGAAGCGCCCGCGGAGCCGGACCGGGCTGGGCTGGGCTGTGGAAGCGCCCGCGGAGCCGGACCGG